GGATTCACTTCTCCGCACGTCCTACCTTCCAGAAAGTGGTCGCTTTTCTGTTCAGAGAGTTGTTGCTATTCTTTTCTTCGATCTCCTGTTGAGTTTGTAGGTGTTCAGAATGGTTCAGAATCCCTATCCAGCTGAATTCCTGAGACCAGACGAAATCCAGGTCTCCTACTCCTCTGCCATCTTGCTCTGCCCCCCAAAATCAATGCTGTTTTAATGCCTGTTAGCACATCCATTCTGCAGCCCATGGATCAAAGAGTCATTTTGACTTTCAAGTCTTATTATTTAAGAAATACATTACATAAGGCTATATTTGCCATAGATAGAGATTCCTCTAATGGATCTGGGCAAAGTAAACTGAAAACCTTTTGGAAAGAATTCATATCTCAATGCTGCTAAGAACATTCGTGATTTGTGGAAAGAGGTCAAAATAGTAACATTAATAAGAGTTTGGAAGAAGTTGACTCCAACCCTATTGGATGACTTTGAGGGGTTCGAGACTTCAGTGGAGGACATAACTGTAGATGTGGTGGAAAGAGCAAGAGAATTAGAGTCAGAAGTAGAACTTGAAGATATGACTAAACTGCTGCAATCTCATATAAAACTTTACCTTATGAGGAATTGCTTCTTATGGGTGAACAAAGAAAGTGCTTTCTTGAGATGGAATCTACTCCTGGTAAAGAAGCTGTGAAGGTTATTGAAATGACAACAAAGGCTTAGAATATTACATAAACTTACTTGATAAAGCAGTGCAGGATATGAGAGGATTGACTCCAGTTTTGAAAGAAATTCTGCTGCAGGTAAAACGCTATCAAACAGCATCACATGCTACAGAGAAATTGTTCGTGAAAAGAAGAGTCCATTGATGTAGTGAACTTAATTGTTGTCTTATTTTAAGAAATTGCCACAGGCACCCTAACCTTCAGCAGCCACCACCCTGATCAGTAGGCAGCCATCAACACTGAGGCAAGACCCTCTGCCAGCAAAAAGATTGTGACTCACTGAAAGCTCAAATGATGGTTAGCATTTTTCAGCAGTAAAGTACTTTTTAAAAATGTTTATTTAAATTCTAGTTAGTTAACATATAGTGTAATAGTAGCTTCAGGAGAGCAGTAAGATATTTTTTTAAAGATTTTATTTATTTATTAGAGAGAGAGAGTGAGTGCACAAGAGAGAGCACAAGTGGGGAAGGGGCAGAGAGAGAAGCAGATTCCTTGCTGAGCAGGGAGTCCGATGTGGGGCTCAATCCCAGGACCCTGGGTTCACCTGAGTTGAAGGCTGATGCCCAACCGACTGAGCCACCCAGGTGCCCCAGTAAAGTATTTTTTAATTATGGTATGTACTTTCTTTTTTAGACATAATGTTACTGCACATTTAACAGAGTTTGTATAGCATAAACACAATTTTATATGCAGTGGAAAACTGAAAATTCATTTGACTTGCTTTATTGCAATATTCACTTTGTATTGTGGTGGTCTGGAACACCTGCAATATCTCTGAGGTATGTCTGTACTTTGGCATCAAATTGGAGAATGGATTGGAAGGATGCTAATGGGGGGTGGTGGTGAATCTATTATAATTATCTGGGAAGTTGATAATAAAGATCTGAACTAAATCAATAGCGGTGGGGATGGAGAACAAGGGATAGATTCCAGAGGATGTAGGATAAGTTTAGTATTGGTCATGTTAAATTTACTAGCAGCAGGTATACATTTGGTGTATGAGTCTGGAGCTCAGGCAAGGTCTGGGAAGTGATATAGAACTAGAAATCGCGTAATATTTGAAACATAAGGTTATGTGAAGTAAAAGTGTAAGATCTGAAAAGGGCCAAAGATGAAAACTCTAAAGAAAGTTTACATTCAAGGAACTGAAAAAGGAAAGCAAGCCTACAAAGCCAATAAAGGAGACAAATACCACATTATCTATCTGTCTCTCTCCTATACTATAGTGAGGTCCGTGGGGCAAGAGTTTCATTTTATTCACCTTTTATGTCCAGGACCCAACATAGTACCTGACATTTAGTAGATGTTTAGTAAATATTTGTTGAACAAACTGAGTATGTTTCTATATATGGTATTGTTTTTTAAATACCTAACTAAAGAGCTTGGGAGGGTTAATTATAATACCCTTCTGCATTAAAAATTGAGTTTGATCAAACTCAAAGGTTGAAATGCAAACCTCTCTATTATTTCTCATCATCATGGGTGGAAACACTTGACAAGGAAATTAACCATCCATGAAGAGCTTGCTTACTTATGAGTGACAACTGATTTAGTGAACAAATGAAGGGGAAGCAAGCACATGAAGGGAAAAGAGAATCCATTTGCCAGCATTCTTTTTTTCTTTTTTAAAGATTTTATTTATTTACTTGACAAAAAGACACAGCGAGAGAGTGAACATAAGCAGGGGGAGTGGGAGAGGGAGAAGCAGGCTTCCTGCAGAGCAGGGAGCCCAATGTGGGGCTCGAACCCAGGACCCTGGGATCATGACCTGAGCCAAAGTCAGACGCTTAACGACTGAGCCACCCAGGCACCTCAGCATTTATTTTTTCTTAAAAGAAAAATAAAAATGGCCATTTTCAATTCTGTTTTTTTCCTTAGAAGAACCAGAATTTCTATTTAAATGTGACTTTGGCATAAACAGTGAGATTATCCAAGGGACTGATATTAAGGGAAACTATCCTGAAATTATCAAAAGCCAGGGATGTTAACTTATTTTTATAATAAGTATTACTTAAACTTTTTTCCAACTTAAGTTTATATTCATATTTTCTGAAAATGTCTTGGTGTTGATATAAAAATATCTGAATATTTTGCTTTTAATAATATAAAGAAACCTATTTCATTATAATTGCTTTCTGAAATCACATAGTTAATTGCTGACTAAGTCCCCACTCTAGTCAATTTTTAAAGCTTTATTTCCTTTAATGAGGATAAAACAAAAATGAAAGAAAAGGTTTCAGCCTAATGATATACACATACCTAGAAGAATATAAGTCAAAGACATATAACTATATAAAAACAACTTTTGCCTAAGTAGGGTTGGGGACCAAAGAGCCAGAACTGGGCATTTAATATTTCACTGGTTTTTGACTTAAAAAAAAAAGTTTTATTTATTTACCTAATCTCTACACCCCACATGGGGCTCAAACTCAAAATCCCAATAAGAGTCACATGCTCCCCCGACTGAGCCAGCCAGGTGCCCCATAGGCCTTTTAACATAACTTATTATGTTTTCTACCATTATTTTTAGTATTTTAATACTGAAAGAAGAGCACTATCATGTAGTAAAAAGAAGAATGTAAGTCTTAGCTTTAGTCCTATTCCTTTTCTGCTGCTCTGAGTCTGAGATTCCTTGCAGAAAAATTATGGTGTTGGTATAGATGCTCTCTAATGTTCATTGAAGTTTGAATATTTTATGATCCATGAATGAAGTCTTTTATTTGTAAAATCAATTCTTTTGTGTTTATCTGTATAACAAAAACAATTGAGAAACTATATTTTATTCAAATTGCACTTAAACTTCTATGCTGAATTTTTAGAAAAGAAAATGGTTGATTAAAAACTGAAAACACTGGAGAACACTACCTATCCATTGTCTTTCTACAGGCTGGTCTCCATGTGCTTTTAACCTAAGAGCTTATATACTTCTCACTGAAAACAGGAAGATGGATGAAGCAGAAATCCCAGAGGTCAGACTGGTTGCTCAGTGATCAATGGATAAATTAATATGGTTTTGACATTTTACATTTAAAAAGATGTTTTCCACAAAGGAAAACATGGTTACAAGACACATTTGTTATCTCTCATAAAAAGGACAACAGGACATCAGGCAGACATAGAGTTAACTATTTTCCTCACTCGGTGCTGATAACCCTTTCTTTCTTTTTTCTGTAAGACTTATTTTATTTAAGTCTTCTTTTTTTTAAAGATTTTATTTATTTATTCAACAGAGAGAGTGAGAGAGTACAAGCAGGGAGGAGTAGTAGAGGGAGAGAGAGAAGCAGGCCTCCTGCTGAGTAGGGAGCCCAACGTGGGGCTCGATCCCAAGACCCCGAGATCATGACCTGAGCCGAAGGCAGACACTCAACCATCTGAGCCACCCAGGCACCCCCTTTTTTTAAAAAAAGATTTATTTAGGGTGCCTGGGTGGCTCAGTTGGTTAAGCGACTTCCTTCAGCTCAGGTCATGATCCCAGGGTCCTGGGATCGAGTCCCGCATCAGGCTCCCTGCTCTGCAGGGAGCCTGCTTCTCCCTCTCCCACTCCCTCTGCTTGTGTTCCCTCTCTCGCTGTGTCTCTCTCTGTCAAATAAATAAATAAAATCTTTAAAAAAAAAAGATTTATTTATTTATTTGAGAAAGAGAGAGAGAGAGTGGGGGTAGGGGCAGAGGGAGAGAGAATCCTCAAGCAGACTCCCCACTGATCACAGAGCCTGATGTGGGGCTTGATTCCAGGACCCTGAGATCATGGCCTGAGCAGAAATCAAGAGCTGAACACTTAACTGACTGAGTCACCCAGGTGCCCCTTTTTTATTTATTTGAGAGAGAGAGCACGCATGAGCAGGAGGGGGAGAGGGAGAGAGAATCTCAAGCAGACTCCCTGATGAGCATGGAGCCTGAGGCAGGGCTTGATCTCATGACCCTGAGATCATGACCTGAGCTGAAACCAAAGGTTGAACACCCAACCAACTGTGCCACCCAGGCGCCCCTGATAATCCTTTCTTTAGTTTAGAGTATTGGTATTTTGACGGACAGGGTAAACACAGGTGATTATTTTCCTTCCCTTTTTTTTTTTATGAAAAGGAGGCTTTATACGTGCTTTATTCTATATACCATTAAGATTGATCTTAGAGTTGAGTAGAAATAAGAAGCAAAAAAGCAAAAAGAATGATGATAGTGATTGTGATAATGATTAATAACCTTTCTCCTTCAGGAAAACCATGTATTTATATTATATGAATCTTACTGGGAAAAAAATGAAAAGAAAAGACAATGGGCAAATACCTCGGTAGTTGATGATTTCTGTCCCAAGCACCGGAGTCATCTCCAGGACTGTGATGAAAGCTTTGTCCATAGACGTTAGAGGAAAAGGAGACATGCGGTGTCTTCTAGCCACCTTGGTGATATCAACAGCACTGTGACCTAAACAGGAAGATAATTAACTAAGACTATGATGCTGAAACAGTGATTACAAAGTGGTAATGTCTTATAATTATCATCAATTCTCATTTTCATATGTCTGTAAATGAACATTACAAGGTAAGAAATTTTCTCCTGCTTCCAAAATATAGCTTGCTTTGGTGGAATATTAAACCAAGTCAGCACTGTTACATTATGTGTCAAAACCTGGTGAAATTTAATGTTATTGGATAATCCTTTTGAGTGCTTACTATGCATTATGGCATTATTCTAATTAATCTTTACAACAACCTTATGGGGAGGCATTATTATTATCCTTATTTATAGATGAGGAAAGAGAGGTTTATATATCTTGGCCTAAATCACAGAGCTAGTAACAGCACAGACAGGACTCAAACCGGTGTAGTGTGGCTTCAGAGTTAATGTCCTTAACCACATACTAAACATCGAACACTTAATGAGCTAGTTAGTAAAATGAAATACTCAAACTTGAATTTATTTAGGAGTTCATAGGAAATTTTCTATTTTAAGAAAAGTCACAGGAAAAGATTATTTAGCTACTCACTCCTTATTCACTCTCCTTCATGGCATTAATATTACCCATACACTAAAACTCCTAATTTATATCTCCAATCCTAACCTCTACCTTCAACTCTAGATTTAAATGTCATCTAAACAGCTGGTAGATAAGAATGTGTATCTCCAAACTTATAAATCATCCAACATGCACTTGGATGCATAACAGGTAATTGAAACTTAACATGTTCAAAATCAAACTCTTGATCCCCCCACCCTTCTATCTTGCCCTTATGATGTTTTAGTCTCTTACAATTTCCATCTCAGAAAATAGCAACTTGATTCTTCCAGTTATTAATCCAAAATCTTGGAAACGTCCTTGATTCTTTTTCTGTCAGAACCATATCTAAACTACCTTTGAAATAGCTCTAGAATCTGACCATTACTTACTATCTCCACAATTACTACAATAGTTGGATCCATCATTTATTTCCTGGGAAACTGAATAGCCTCCTAACTGATCTCCCTACTACTGTCCTTGTTCCACTATAATTTATTCTCCACACAGTAGTTATGGTGATCCTTTTAAATTTTAAATTGGATTGTGCTAATCTTTGCTCATAACTCTCCAATGACTTTCCATCTCACTCAGAATAAAATATTTGCTATGGCCTACGAAGTCCAACATATTACGGCTTCCACTACCCTCATCTCCTATCATTTCCCCTCTTGATCACTGTGCTCTAACCATACTGGTTCCTTGCTTGTCTTGAGCATGCAAAATACATCTCTCCTCAGGGTCTTTGTACTTGGTATTTTGTCCACTTTGACATCCTTCCCCAATATAATGGTTCCATCCATCCCTCGTTTCTTTCAGGTCATTGCTAAAATATCATCTTATCAGAGAGGCCTTTGTTAAACATCCTATGTAGAATATTACCCACCATCATTTTCTATTCTTTTTATCCTTTCTTCATGGATATATAAATAAATGCACACACATATATATGGATATTCATATCCATATGCCTATAATTTATATAATATATACATTTATAGTTATTTGTTTATAGCCTTCCTCTTCATAGAATGTAAGCTCCATTGTCTTTTTTGTTCAATGTTATCTCCAGTATCTAGAACAGTATTTGGCACATATTAGGCAATAAAAATAAATATTTGTTAAATTAATGAATCATTTACTGACAAAAGGGGACTTCTTAGTAAGATCACTATATTTTCATGCATAAATAACTTGGCCTTTTCTTTGGAACCTTAAAGGTCTATAGCCCAGATGGTAAACAGAAAAGGAGTAACTGCAAACACAGTTGGTTGGCTATCCTGTCTGCTATCCACAACTCCATTCTTCCCTAGCCACTGTGCAGCGGAGTGTGGTCATATGATAGAGTTCTGGCCAGTAAGATGCTGGAAGAAGTCCCTGGGGGCAGGGTTCCTATGGTGAATAAGAAGATAAAGAGATAAAGCCTTAAGAGGAGAAAGCTTTTGCCCTTCTTTCTTCTTGGAACATGGGTAGATACTGGGAGGTGCCGTAGCCATTTTTTAACCATGAGAGTGGAAACCCACACAGTAAGTATGGAAATATGAGAAGAAAAAAGAGCCTCTCCTGACAATATTGAGTTGCTGTACAAGCCCTGGACTGCCTGTCAACAGGCTTTTGATATGAAAGACAAATAAACTCCTATTTCTTTAATCCACTTTATCATGATTGTATATACTCCTCAGTAGTCTCTAAGTTCCTAGTCATTGCAATTTATTAAGTTTAATACCCCAACCCAACCCCAGAAGCTGCTTCAGACATATTCACTGAATAAACTCAAAGGTACCACCTCAAAGAGTTTCCATTCTAAGATGAATGATATTGTCATAAGTACTGAAAGAAAGACATATAAAGATGCTTATACTTATGATATTTCTCTCCAATGGGCAATCATAAAATTACAAAATTTTCAAAGCTTGAAGGGCCTTACAGATTTAGTGCTAAACATGAATAACATTTCTACTCAAAATTTAAGTGAATGCTTATAAAGGATTATGTATGATATGATTTATCATTTACTTACAATTTGAAACATAAATTTATTTCTCACTTTCACTGAAGTCCCAACCTTGTCATTAAATATCATGAAAACATATTGTCACAACCAGTGTAACTGGAGAAAATGATAGAGATAGGTTCTTCTGTTTTTTATTCAGGTTTATAGGTCTCAGAGATATTTTCTAAAATATGTTTTACTTTATGGTGCAAATTGTGTAAAACCTTATAAAAGCTGTCCTTTTAAAATGTTTAGTTTCTGAGGAGAAAATTGTACTTTTTAACTGAACAGTTTATTTGTTGAATTGCTTTGTAATAGAATTTTTCTTATTAGAAAGCTAGTTTGATTATCAGTGATACACACATCTATTCAACAAATATTTATTGAATGCATTTTATGAGCCAGTTATGGTTAGGGACTTGGGATACAGAGTGAGATACACTCTGCCATGAAGAACATTATAGCTCAGTGGAAAGGAAAGATGGTAAATAAAAAAATAAGAGCAGGTAGGTAGTAAACCACCTGATGATGGTTCTCTAACTATAGAGACTGGTGGTTCTCTGTCTCTAATTGGAAATTACAATGTGGATATCTACCAGCCTGGAAAAATCTTTCCCCAAAATCTTTAAAATAATTTTGCACCTTATTTATATATATATATTTTAGGGCACCTACCACCTCTGTCTTATGTTATAGACATTTAAATATTTGTCTTACCTGTGTTAGTCAACTGTAAACTCCTTTGAAGGTAAACCCTATATTTTACTATATTTTTGGCTTCCATTTTTTAAAGAAACATGATTTCAACTATTTTCAGATGTTGACAGTAGTGATTTACAAGAAGCTTCAGAGTGAAAGCTTCAGAAAATTTAAGAATAGTTATCTCTGACTCCTTTTATTTTACAGGTTATAATCCCAAAGCACTTTTATTTTTCCTGGCCATTACAGAACTCAATCAGATAGGAAAAAGGATCAAGAATTGTTTTTTCCACACCCTAATCCTCTTCTTGCTTCTAAGCCCAGCATAGAAAATCTAATGGAAGAGAAAAAAAGTATGTACTTTTATGTCTTGAAGGCGAGATGGATTACAGCCTAGCAGCCAAATTTCCCTGAATGGTCCATAAAAATCCAGTTTGGCAGAAGTAGAAAGGAAGGAAAGAAAAAAAAATTTTTTTAAAGTAAGAAGGTTATAAGAAAAGGCAGTTTGGTTTTTGGATAAAAAAATATCCAAAAATTGAGAGAAAATTCGGATAGTTTTTCCTATAAAGCAAAGATGATTTCATGGCCATAAATACATTCTTATAGCTACCTTACAAAGAAATACCAATGGTCACAAAGAGAATCTGTGAGGGCATTAGCTCCATTCAACTCATGTACACTACAAAACTAACATGAAAATATGTGTCCTATATAGGAGATTATACTGTTCAAGGGAATATTTATTTTAACTTATAATAGTAAAATTAGCTGGTGATCTATGGCTATCACTGATAATTTGTAGGCAGGGTAGCTACTTCAACAAAAATAAACTACAAAGTGCTGTAGGATATGGGATCTTTATATGCAAGTGGGGCAAGGATGGGGAAAGGATGTCTAGACTTAGACACCCCCTCCACTAGTAGATGTCTGAACTGAGCAAAGAATAACAGGTTTGAATTATTATAACATCTAAATTGATAGCATTCTTCTGCAATCAGTTTAATTTTCTCAAGTAGACTTACAGGATTAAAGCAATTCCAAATTAGCCACAGACTGGTGACCTGGAAGTTTCTCTTAGAAATCTAGGTTTCTATAAGTAAAACTTAACTTGTCACTTTTATATTTTCTGGTGCATAAGTCCAGATATGGGATTTACTATATTTGAGCTTGGAATCTTTGCAGGTAAAGTACTCAAAATGTTATTGAGATTTCCTATCTTCCATGCAGCAGTTATAACTACTAAAAAGACTATATAAGAAGTCAGTGCAAAAACAGTATGGATTCAATCAGGATTGCCATCATGAAGGATATGTTTAAATACTAATGGCAATGTCTGTGATGTACAAGGCCTTCAAAAGGGCACAGAAAGTACAAATGGATTCCTTTCTACTGAGTAGAGTAATTAATAAGGATCTTTGTCATATAGCAGTAACCTTTTTCTTATGGCATGGCCATCGTGAAATGAGCTATTTATACCAATGAAATTACTTTCCCCAATTCAAATGCATCCTTTTCAATCTGACAATTCTTAACATACAATGTTTCATCTTGGCTTGAAAATCCAATCTAAATTAGAAGTAAATGAAGAAAAGATGCTTTCAAATGATAGAACAGAATATAATAGGAACAAGATATTCTAAATGTTTACGCTACCCAGATCAATCTGTACCTTCAATGCCATCCCGATCAAAATTCCAATGACCTTTTTCAAAGTGCTGGACAAACAATCCTAAAATT